GAGGCCTTCCCGCCCGGCAGCCCCTCGACAGGCCTGGCCAATAAGGTGGCAAGGCTGGACCCCGCTGGCGTGGTCCACCCCAGATCCATCCACAGGGGGGGGGGGGGGGGGCCTCCCTCCCTGGTACATATATAATTTTTAGGAGCATGACTATGAAAATGAAGATCAGCTTGATGTTCTGCCATATTGATATTGGTATTTCAGAGATAAAAATTTTGATTTTCAAAAGACCCAGATTGTTACCGTGAAATCTCCTGGGTACTTGTACTATATTTATCATCATCATCTTCAATCTTGACGAAGGTGCCGAATATGCATTGTGGTTGATTTGTATAAGTAAGTAGTTGGAGCAAGATGCTGGAGGGCAACCGCGAATTCTGTAGCGGTTGATGGTGCGTTCAACCCCGAAGAGGAACCTGATAAGATAACAATCACATCAACTACTTCTACACCTCATTCGACAGCTGTACTTCATTTCATATTAAAGTTAAGCGATTGGCTTTACGACCTTTACAAATACTAGTACTAGAACTAGCTGATTATCAAATATGTCAATGTCTTGGTCTTCTAAAGAACAGAAGCAAGATGAGCACTTTTATATTCATTATCATCCTATTGCTAGTGATTATGCCCAGCCTAGAAGAGAGGCCCATTTCCTCCATCGTACTGATACATATTTATATTACGTCGCAGAGACACCAGGTAGACCAAGTGGTCGCGCTAGACTTGTATTTGATGAAAAATTTCCTTACAGCGAGAATTTGAGTCTGAGCGACGGCGCTCAAAAAAAAAGCAGGGCTGAGGCCAGGCGGGAGCCCCTCTGAATCTAAATCTGAATGATGAGCTAGCGTTTGTTGATTCATCTTTGGCCTCCGCTACACGACAAGATGAATCAAGCAAAAACGGTTCTGGTCGTTCCCTCATCTTCCACTCGGTTCGGTCGTTCCCCGGACAACACTGGGATCACCCACCTTTCGGCGTTCCACCTTTCGGCGTTCTCGGACTACAAAAAATGACAATCGCTGCCTGCGGAGGCAACCTGATTGGTTGATTGAATATGAGTATAACCGTGATATTGTGTCTTCCTTTGGAATCGACACTTGAAGCCAGGGTTATCTTGATCATTTTTTCCATCCTGCAGCGTGGGGAGGAAAAGGGAGCCCCGTACCATCGCGTTGAGTTCAGACAACTTGGGCCTGTGCTTTATGAACACAGCTGCGGTGGAGGCCCCCATTAGTATGAGTTCAACGTGGTTGATCTGTCCCTAGTGCTGTCATACCATCTCTATCTCTTACCCTTACCTCTAAATGTTGATGGTGCCTGTGTAATAGTTTACAACAAGCCTACAGGAGCTCTAGAACAATCAACGGCGTTCGAGTTCCACTTAGTGCAACGATTTTGAGGATATTGCGCTAGCTGTGTATTCTTTTGAAGGTACCAGAACTGTTTGTAAGGATGAAAAGTGACAGTTTCTTCTGGAAGACGAGTACAACGAAAGAAACAGGACAGACAACATGGAGCAACTTCTTGAGAAATAAGTACATAGATGAAACAAGACGTCGGAGTTAGCGTTACACCTCATATTAGAATTGAAAAATACCGTTACATCTAGAGGGCGAACAAGGTAGCAAGGTCCCATCTCCAGAGGCATCTTTCAATACAAGCTACCCAAGCAATAAAATGACAACGATTTCCGATTCGCCATTCGCAGGTGAAGATGGGCGCACGACACGACATATAAATAGGTGGTCGACACATAGCGAATAGAAAGAGAATTCGAGAAGTTGGAGTTCTCAGATCGTAGGTAACGCAGTTTTTACTCATCTTACCAGGCATAATCATTGATTTGGATTTTGTGTAGTTTGTTGCAGTCGTGATTATAAGATATGCCTTTCTTGAGAGGTTATCCATGTTGTTCCTCCGTGATGAACACGATGACGAATGGGGCAGTGCCACGACAATCAAAAAGTAAGAATTGGGCGAGGGCGTGGAATGTGGCTGCGGAGGAATGATTTATCGCGGTGGGCCAGTATCTCTCCAGAGCAGGTTCAGTGGGCCTGACAGAAACAAGGTTAAGGTGCAGCCCATGGCACGGACCATCCGCCTTGTTGTGATTATGCGGTTTCTTTTTTACACTCGGGGTCGTTCGGTATAAACATAGATAAATGATATGATGATGAAAAAATTTAGGAAATAACTGAATTTGAAATGAGAAGAATTCAAGACCTTGCCTCGGGATACACATACACGTTGGAGGAGTGCACGGACAAACACTTATTCTTGTTATTTAGTTTCTATGGTTATGAGAAACAATCGCAACAGGCTTGAGCAAGGAGCTGCTTGTGTTTCTCGACGAGGAGACTCAACATTCTTGCTTATGTATTATGCGCACATAAGGGTGACCACTCACTCAGGAGTATTGTGCAGGTGATTGGTTTCTCATCTATCTGTTCCTGCTTAGGGAAGTATTACTTCGGCGTCCTGTACATGAAAATTTCATTCTGTATTATTCGACGCGCATTTAGATTTGGATTCGTCATTTTTGTTCACATGGAGGTAGAGGTTGCAGCAAACATGAACCTTGTTGCAGCAAACATGGAGGTAGAGGTTGCAGCAAAAATACGCAATTTCTGTAGAGGTCGCTGAGCATGAACCTTGTTGTGACCTTGCTCGCACCTGCTCCTCACTAGCAGACTCTTCAATGTGTATGCTGCCATTCATTGAGAACGAAGATGTGGGGGTGTCCTTCCTAAGTAAGAAAGCAAAGGGGGAATGACATTCCCCTATGGACATTCTCAATGAGTGGAAGCACTCAAAATCTGAGTGATCGATTGCGACTTCGCCATCTTCTACTTGTACCTCGCGCGTTCGCAATATCACAACGAAAATGATTATTTACATTTAGTGATATCAACACTCAATGATTAATATACATTTAGTGATATCAACACTCAATGATCCTCACACCATAACGTACTACTTTTTAGGAGTTGTACAACTTGAAACTTATTACAACAGCCTCAACGAACACGATCAAGATCAGGAACAAAAAAAATATGTATGTCGTTGCACTGACATCATCGCAAGACCCGTGTGGCGCGCAGCTGTCTTGTAATGAATTGTGAGTCTACAACTTCTACTTCTACTTCTACAAGACCTTGCTCCTGTGAGTGTTCACATGTAAGGCGCTTGAAAGAAGATCTTCAGAGGTGTCCCTCCCCTGAAGATATTGTTGTTGGTTCTTGGCACTTGCGTCTGGTCACAATATTCTGCTAGAATGTTGACACTACAAGTCCAAATGATGGTATGAATGTTGTGAAGGTGGAAGCCCCTACTCTGACCAGGATCTTCGCACTCATGCCAGGAAGAAGCAGTACCAGAATTAAAATCACTGGCGCACGTAGACGTACTAATAATGCCGATCCAAGTCCGATTCATCAAGTGTTTCCTTCTACTTCTAAATCCTCGAATAAGAATTTGAGCTTCATCCATTTCCACTGCCATTTCTGTTCTTGAAGCTGGCGTTTGAGGATCAAGCATCGAAAATAGAAACATAACACTGTAATCTCAAACTGATTTGATGTTCATATCGATTATCATTTTCATCAACACGATGTTAACATCCATGACATCTTCCATCAACTCTGACAATTATATATAAGATGAAGAAGCAACGTTTCATCTTCAGAAAATTATCTCCACGATTCTTTATTCTCGGTAATATCAGCGACGACCTATTATCATCGCTAAGTGTTCACCATCTATGAGAAGGAGAAAAGATTGTAGCACGAAAAAGCAAAAAGCTTCTGACATTAAACTTCTAAGCGCACTACGTCTACAACTACGACTAGGACAACATCTATATCTTAAAGAACAAGAAGATGGAGAGCCGACACGAGACTCTTTTCGTTGGGAACATTGATCAGAAGCTGAAGAAGCATGATCTGGAGCACAGTTTGTTTGAGCTCTTTGTCCCTTTCGGGCATGTCAGGGAGATCAAGTTTAAGCGCGAACAAATGCTCGCACGCCACGACAAGTCCAAGTACAAAAAAGCGATGCCGCTGATGAAGACGATCGCATTCTTATGGACGTATGCAATATAACCACAAAAACTTGAAGAGTCCCCTTAGAGATTGTTTTATAGATTCTCCTTATTCATACTCATAGTCATACTTGTTCTTGGCTGAATTATCTGATTCAGATTCATCTTCCACTCTTCCTAATCCGATCTTATTTCTTCCCCTAATTTTTGTTGTGTTTGCGACCGAGGCTCATGCCACTGCTGCGAAGGCGAAGCTGAATAATTTTCCGTTCTTCGGGAGAAATCTTTTCATCGATTTCGCTCGAAAGAGAGGTGATGCGGCATGTATGGCAGACGGAACTTTCGATTTCGCTGCTGATGCAAAACAGAGAGGGAAGGACAAAATAGCAACACGGAAAATTGCGATCAAAAATCAACAAGTCCAAGAGATCGCGCAAACAACAAAGGAAGTGGTATTGCTTACACTTGAGAGTAGGTTAAAGGTGCTTTTGTTACCGTTTGTTATGGCTCTCCTAAGAAGGACAGCCATAACAAGCGGGATAAAGGAACACCAATTAAGACCTACCTCTAATACACCTTGTAGCTATTTTTCCCGAGTTAGTTACATCATCATCATCAGACATTATCAACACATTATCAACAAGATCATGAAGATCTGCTGGAACTCCTTCGAAGTACTATACGCAACTCCTTATCTTCATGGCATTTTTCATTGACCATCACCACATCCACCTCCACCATCTTCACCAACAAAACTTCACATCATCAATCAAGGTTGGCGAACCAAGCACGACACTCGTGGTTGAGGGTTTGGCAGAGCATCTGACGGAAGAGGTGATGCGACCCTTGTTCGAACAGTTTCCGGGCCTGGTAGAGCTGACTCATTTCCCAACGCAAAACCGCATAAAGTGCGAGTTCAAGCACGAGGACCACGCTTCGCAGTGTCTCCGGGAGTTGCAGGGCTTCAATGTAGATGGCAAAGTGAAGCTCAAAATCGTTTTTGGTGCATAACTACCTGTAGAAAAAGAGATGGAAGAAGATCATCTACTACAGTAGATGTGGAGGATGCAGAGGAGCAATGAGCTGCAGTCTCAGTCTTCTATTTAGAGGACGTCTCTGCGTCGATGGGGGTCGTCGATTAACATGTGGGTTTCAACACTTGTTTCTACATTTTGCTTTCAAGTCCTTGGAGGGAGCCCATACGACAAGCAGCTCTCACAGCGGAAGTGCAGGCAGAAACTACATTTGGTGAATTCTATTCCTCGAGAATTAAGGGAATTCGAATGTCCGAAAAGGAGTGTCAGCCCATAATGATATATTGATACTTCACCATGATAGTTCCGGTTCCCCGACCACTATCATGAAGATGATCCCATCATCATGTCTCACTGATATAAGAAAGATGAAGAGCCCATCAACATGATAAGAACGTCGCAAAATATTTCCTACGCCTTTTCTAGTATGTATCTATCCCCTATATTGTTTGGCCAAAATATCTCTGCAGCTCCACGCAGGAATTACTTAAGATCTCAGGAATTCGGCGTACTATCGACGTAGTACCTGTTCTTTTCGAAGCTCACAGTCACAGGTTGCCAACAGTGACAGAAATGAGCATGTTGGACTGGCGAAGAAGTAGATCAAAAGAGTGATGAACTGAGCGAAAGATTTGAGATACCTCTCGGAACAAAACATTCCTGAAAAAGTTTCTCATTATACTGTACGGCATCGCCTGCACCTAAATCTAACTATCAAGGAATAGGCTATCAAGGAATAGGAAGGCTTTCAATAGGGCATTTATTTTGTGGTTGTAGATGGACGTGGAATGGGAATCGGTACGAGAGAATCACGCAAAGCAAGACAGCGGATCTACTAGTGCTCCTATAATCTGGCAAATGGGAATGGCATCGATGAAACAGCGCGGGTCAGAAATATGAGGACTCCTCCAACATGATGTTTCCTGTCGTGGTCGTTCCGCAAAAACGAACCGGCGGCGCTACCGTCTTCTTGTTGAGGAAGCTACGAACGACTCACAGAGGAACCAAATTCCAGTAAAACTTAGATCTCCGGAAAACTAGCACTAGAAATACTTACCACGGTTTCCCTTTCCACGAGCACGAAAATGGCGGGCCATTTCTTGGCAGGCATCGGGGGCTCCGTCTCTTTGCGGACGCCCATGCTGAAGAGAATGGTGAAGAAATCTCTGGGTGTGGAATGGACAGACGACATCACAGTGGATTTTTTCGGAGATCGGCCTAGTGTGGAGATGCGCAACGTAAAGATCACCGACGAATTTCTCAGCCTCGTCTTAGCAAACACGCTGCCAGCGACGGTGCATAAAGGTAGTATCAAGAAGCTCCGCGTCGAGTTCACATGGGACACACTGCAAAATTTATGCGTCGCCGTGAAGCAGTAGTGGATAAGCATTTTCTGTTGTTCGTAGTTCTATGTACTATATTCACAGAGTTATTTCAACCCCAAGTAAAGACACTGATGTATTCTAATACTACCAGAGAAGGGTGAACCGTTCTCAGTGCATATTTGGGGTCTGCACCTTGAGGTAAGGTTCAAGCCACCAACAGAATGGGAGGCCAGTGCACGTGCCGAGGTTGGAGTTCTAGCGCGATCGAAGATTATGGACCATTTTTAGAGCAATTTTTATCAGAGGCAAGAATGTCAATGCTTACCTCCTCTAGGTAGATGAAGAAGAAGTACAGATTCCATGTGAAATCACAACATACACAAGTTGTGCACCTAAGGTGGCCTCCTGTTCTTGTGCCACTTGTGTCGAGAAACTACTTCTACCATTGCCATTGGCTGCATTGTAGGAGTGGGGTCATCCTGATGACAATCCTACTCTAAGGCCGAACGTTTGCTTGCAGGCTTCTATGACAAACCGCCTAGCCAGGTCACGCAGGTAACAAACCGGGTTCGTCGGCACCTGCGAGTTAGTGTGCATGAAGCAAGTTTGGTCTTTCTCCATTGCGAACCCCGTACTTACATCGCTACGGGACGTGTCGCCAGCTCGACATCTTCGGGCTCAGACGCCGGGTCATCTTCGGCAGCTTCTGTTGGTGCAAAGGTACTAGTTGTCGATCATCAGACTGGTTTTCCTATAGGTGGTGGAGGAACAGAAACGTCCTCCACGACTACGCTTCTGGATGATGCGAGTAAGCAAAAGCAACATCAAGACTCAACAAGTGCAACACCAGCTTACGACCAGATGAAGCCGGACTTTAGCCATAGCGGCAAAGTCTTTATGGCTATTCGCGCGAAGTATGTTGCGTTGTGCGATCCAGAAGAGGCTGATTTCAACGCAGATGGAATGCTCATACAGCGAAGCGACAAATCGCCCTTGCGGGTCTTCTGTGGCCAGAAAGAGCAAGGAAGCTGTACTTATACCAGAATAATTTATAGAACGGATGTAGGATCGACTTGGATGGATCGGATGGACCTACCGAAGTCCTTGGGTCCTACTTGAAATGCTTAGCGAAGCGGGGAAGTCCATCCGTTCCATCCGATCCATCCCATCCTGGATCGGGCACCCCTATGCATGAACTGTTCTATTATACTTGCTACGCCACTTCTCTAAGACTAGAAGTGGGCGACAGGTGTAGGCAATCTAAAAGATGCAACAGCTTTCAAATACCGAGTAGAATGTTAGTTCACGACTGCTATCCCTATCGATTTCGATCAGCTCTATTATATCTATGTAAGGATGTTGATGTGTTTCGTTTATGAGACGCTAAAACGAAATTCTGAAGTGCTTGTAGTTCATCAACCTTAATAATGTTTTCCGGTCTACTCGTGATATTATTCATCGTATCCCTATTATCTTTATTCTCATTATCGAAAAACGACTATTTTATTACCCCACGACCAGCCGACGAATGTACATCGGATCGGCAGTGTAGAGCTTGTGCAGCGTGGCGACCTGGGAGTGCCGCATCTTCTTCATCTTCACCCAAGGGTGTCGAATTTGACAAGAAGGCTCGAGATGATGGGCACCTCTTCGCGAAAAGCGTTGTCGTCAGAGGACTTGGCGTTTATTTTGGCGCACCCCAGGACGACTCTGTCTTCGAAAATCTGCAAGCAGCTCTGTGGCGAGGCGACTTGGATACTGACTTATGAATCACTTGCTTCCAGCACTCTCTCCAGCTTGAATCATGTGCTCATGCTGCTGGAGTTATTAAACATCTTCGTGATTCAAATTGTATCTTTTATGTACTTGTACTTGGTTCATGAGGCTATGATGTCTTCTTTGTCTCTTCAACGCACGCAAAAACTCAAGCATTAGCAGAGAAAATACTCAATGAGTGTCACCTTCTCTAATCTTTGAGTATTTGCTCACCCGTCGAACCCCCTTCCGAGTAGAGCTGCTGTTGCGCCAGTGGGGACGGTACTACAAAGGCCCGAGTCGCGAGCTTTCGGCGCAGTTTGGTATCAGCGCCAGCATTGCACCCGAAGACTACAACAGCAACTCAACTACACCTGTGTCGTCTTCATCCCCGCCCACATCTTCTGTCGGAAGTAAATTTGACGGTGACCACGTCATGAACAATTACGGCTACATTAATCTGTATTGAATTGATGACGTGGTCACCATCAACATCAAGATCAAATTCTGTATCCCTAAGAAAAGATTGATGACATCAATATCCGCAAGAAGGATACATCAATCTCATTAATCTCTGTATCCTCTTCAGATGAACTCCACCAACGGGGTGGACAGTTTCATGATGATTTTCAGAGCGCCGGGGGTGTCATGAGCCCCGCGTCTTCATGCGGCGGCGGTGCTCCTGGTCTAGGAGCTGCCGAAGCCTTTGAAAATAGCAGGAGCAGACCACGTCATCAACCACGTCATCAATGACGTCGGTGACCACGTCATTATTAGTCTCTGTATTGAGAAGATCCTCCATCTAGCACGTTGATTCTTTACCAGGGCAACTACAACACTAGTCTAGAACAAAATTACTCCTCCACAGCAGAGAACGGGATGCATTGCGGACGTCTCTAAGTCAACAGTGACACCGCCAGACCGCCTTCTCCGAATGGGACAGTTACAACGCTTGGTGGAAGCCCACCGAAGAGAGGTAATGCAGTGGATCCGGTCGCGGATGTAGTTGTGACGGAGAAATTAATGGATTGGGTATTTCACATGTTCTACGGTCGCCGCTGTTTGATGCAACTGTACTACCTGCAGCAGGTCAAACTGATGGAGCAAATGGGTGTCGGGGTCAAATGTCCAACCGAAGAAGTAGCCCGCCGTTACTTGCTCCTTTACTTATGGAGAAGTTCTAGTACCACACAAGCACGTCGACAGCTAGTTTCCACTTACCAGCACATGAAGATACACACGCACGACATGGTAATAAAAATAGTAATAGTACTGGAGATCATGATAGAGAGTCATCGTAGTTGTTCATGTAGCTTTTGCCCTGGTCTATGCCTACACACCGGCAAGAAGCAATACTAATATACTACCACAATAATTCTTATTCTTGTTCCGAGCTCTAATCTTTGCGTCAACGACAGTGCAGGCAGAAAATTCCTACTTCGGAAGCTTCTTTTCGAAGGGTTCCAAGAAGCAGCTCGCGGACATGGAGGCAACAATGCCCTCAAATTTCGTGTTAGAACTGAGAACTCTGGCGAAAGACAAGGACTTCGTAGCCGCGGTTCAAGCCGAGACGGGAGAATCGTGGACCGCCTCTCACCTCGTTATACTCCCATGGAAAAGAATATTCTGCGGGCCAAGGCGATATCGGCGGCCACAAGGATCATCTTCTTACCAAGGTCCTGATGTTGAAGCAACCCGGTCAGCGACAGAAGGAACAGGAGGATTGTTATTATGGTCTTATAGAAGTCTCTTTAGGCGCAACATTCTCGGTTCGTCATCTGCGTCTGCGACGGGACGACAACAGAGGGACGATGGCAGCGGCGGCCTGACAGGAAATTTTGCTTCCTCGACCTCCGCGCTGGATAAGAAAGGCGTTGGACAAGGAGCATGGTGCGGTACATCTTCACGAGACGACAATCGTTCTCCAGTGCTGCTCTCAAAAATGGACGGTCCGCGGAGTACCGGAATCCATAGGCCCTCAACAGCTTCATCGAAGCCACGGCGCAAGAAGAGGCCTTTCCTGGACAGGTGGACTTTGCTACAAGGACGAGATAACGAACCATATTTTTTCGAAAAAGGTGATTTTGACGAAACTTATATCGACATCAACAAGAACAAGAAGCATGGTTCATCCAGAAAAAGACGGAACTCCGCCGAACGCGGCGCGCGCCACTATTTGTCGCGGTTTCAAGTCGATACTCAATACTTGCTTCCCACAGAGCCCATGCGCATGGACCCTAACGTTACGCTTTTTGACTGCTCGAACAACCGGTATGGCAACGGACTGTATCGCGGTGGAGTCCGCGAACCGACGTTGATGGCCTCAACACTGCGGACCCTGGAACGCAATCGGAAGGATCCATGCTGCCCTGCCCGACAGTTCATTGCGCTGCAGCACATGGAGTTCTTCTTCCCAAAAC